ATTAAAAGTGAATACAGGAAAGAGTAAGGTTATGAGGATAACAAAAAGATTAGGTGATGAAAGATTGGATATCAGATTGGAGGGAGAGAGTATGGAGGAGGTGAATGTACGTATTCAGATATTTGGGAGTGGACGTGTCAGCGGATGGGTCAATGAAGGATGAGGTGAATAATAGAATTGATGAGGGGAAAAGGGTGAGTGGTGCACTTAGGAGTCTGTGGAGACAAAGAACTTTGTCCTTGGAGGCAAAGAGGGGAATGTATGAGAGTATAGTTTTACCTTCGCTCTTATATGGGTGTGAAGCATGGGTGATGAATGTTGCAGCGAGGAGAAGGCTGGAGGCAGTGGAGATGTCTTGTCTGAGGGCAATGTGTGGTGTGAATATAATGCAGAGAATTCGTAGTTTGGAAGTTAGGAGGAGGTGTGGGATTACCAAAACTGTTGTCCAGAGGGCTGAGGAAGGGTTGTTGAGGTGGTTCGGACATGTAGAGAGAATGGAGCGAAACAGAATGACATCAAGAGTGTATCAGTCTGTAGTGGAAGGAAGGCGGGTTAGGGGTCAGCCTAGGAAAGGTTGGAGGGATGGGGTAAAGGAGGTTTTGTGTGCGAGGGGCTTGGACTTCCAGCAGGCGTGCGTGAGCGTGTTTGATAGGAGTGAATGGAGACGAATGGTTTTTATTACTTGACGTGCTGTTGGAGTGTGAGCAAAGTAACATTTATGAAGGGGTTCAGGGAAACTGGCAGGCCGGACTTGAGTCCTGGAGATGGGAAGTACAGTGCCTGCACTCTGAAGGAGGGGTGTTAATGTTGCAGTTTAAAAACTGTATTGTAAAGCACCCTTCTGGCAAGACAGTGATGGAGTGAATGATGGTGAAAGTTTTTCTTTTTCGGGCCACCCTGCCTTGGTGGGAATCGGCCAGTGTGATAATAAAAAAAAGAATAAAATAAATAATAAAAAAAATAAGTACAATGGTTCCTCGGTGTACGTCTGCTTTGGAATAAGTCCAACTTGGTATATGTCCTGTTTGGACGTGAAAATTTTTGTTTTGTATACAACCTTTGTTTAGAATACGACTCATGTGCTAGAACTTATATGGGTCAGAATGAGTCATGCAACTGCATCCTAGACGGCTACACTGTAGCCCAGAGCCATGTTATTACCATCTACATACCTTGTTCACTGAATTTAATCGTTTCTAACAACTACCTTTAGATGCCATCATAAACAAAGGGAGAAGTAATAAATAAGTCATGCTGAGAATTGTAAACAAAAGTGGAGTGACTAGGCCAAACGCAGATTCATACACGTTTTCTTTGGTGCTGGACCACAGAAAACGTAATGTTTTCCCTCTGCCCGGCATATAAACATAGCATGTTTATATGCTATGTAACGTGTTCCTTATATAATTTTGAAGAAAATATCATAGATGGATTAATGAAAATGTCTATATTAATGTAAAATAAGACATTTAATGTGCCCAAGAGTGAGTATTATTAGTATTACATAATGTTTTCCCTTTGCCCAGCAGCCACACCTCCATAGCATATAAACATAGCATGTCTATATGCTATGTAACGTGTTTCTTACATAATTTTAAAGAAAATATCATTGATGTAAAATAAGACATTTAACCCTTTGACTGTTGTGACCCCAAATCCTAAAGTCTCTCTGTATGTCACAAAATTTTCTAAAAAAAAAAAAAAATCTCGTGAAATGATAGAGAATCTTTTTCCAATGTTAATGACACCAAAAATACAAAATTTGATGGAAAACTTATGGAATTACACTCTTGCGAAGTTAGCGATCTCAACAATCAATGCATCAGCGATTTTGCCCACTTTGAGCCCTATTTTTGGCCAGTTCCATTGTTCCAGTCGACCAAACTTATAGCTATTTCTTTAGAACTTCATTTGTTCTATCGATTGAGTACAAGAAACCGCTCATTCACCAATTTCAACTACCCAGTAAAGTGGTCAGAAATTGGCAATTTGTCCAATTTCATGCAAATTAAAAAAGGTGGCAATTTCGAAATAGTCTAGAATGAACAATGCAGACATTCCTGGCACTAAAATAACATTGTCTCTGTTCATTAGTCACCTCTCCAGGCCCCTCTTATATTACTCTTGCTTTCTATTTTGAATTTTTATTCACACGAAAAATAGAAGATTTACTGTTATGCAGACTACTGCATTATTGTAATAATTGTATAAATAATGTCAACCCATTTGTGACTGCATATTAGAATGGCTAATTGGACACTCGGACAATGATGTCATTTGTTTACTCTTGAACATATGCAAAAATCGAACATTTCCGCTACATAGAGCTCAATTTCAAGGTCCTCTTCATCATGAAACCAATCAAAATAATCTCTATTTCTGTAATAGTATGTCTTCATTCTATCAAATGAGACCAAGAAAATGAGAAGACAACCATAAATACTATACTAAAATACACCTCAAAGTCGGCGTTTTAATTCAAAAACACGGTCGGAGGTTTATTTTTCTCATTATGCACTTCATGCTGCAGGATTTTTTTTATACTGTGCACACTGACCACACCGATCCATTCTCTCCTGGACTTCATCTTAACAGACATAGCAAATGTGATAGTAATTATGGACATGGTAGATTATAGGGAAAAAATGAGCATATTATTAGAAGACGGGGAAACTTAAGTGCCTAAGCTTAAGGCCTGGTAGACCAGGCTAGCACCAGATGAGCCTGGCCCATGGCCGGGCTCTGGGAGTAGTGAAACTCTTGAAACTCATCACAGGTATCTCACATGTGGACCTACCAGCTTTCTCCCGCTTAATTTGAAGCCACTAGAATTTTGGAGTATAAATACGTCAAAAACACTGGCTCATAAGACGTATATATATGACTAAAACAGTCAAAGGGTTAATGTGCCCAAGAGTGATTATTATGTACTATTAGTAAGGTAAAGTGAGGTTAAATTTGCATTTATTTCATCCAATTCCTTTGTATTTATGTATGTATTTTAGTATTAAGCAGTGTTTAAATTATTTTATACCACCCCATCAATGTATAATATGCCAATAACAGTAAGATTTTTTATGGGAATGGATTAATCATTTTCCCTATAGTATTTCTTATGGGAAAATTTGTTTGGCATACGTTGAAGAGTGTTGTAGTAATTGGTGACAGTACTTGTGAAGCTTTTTTGTATGTAAAAGTAGGCAAGTTGTTTATGTCTCCTGTTTTGTTTTTAAGGATGTTGATGAGTGAGACCTCTGTTGGGTTGGTTGGAGCTAGGAATAGTGTATGCAGGTAGGTGCCTGTGAGGTAGTCTGATGGAAGGGTGTTTGAGCTTGGGATTTTGCTTGCTAGATTCTTTCCTATGGTGGAGAAGAAAACATTGAGTCTGTTTGCTGTTTCAGTTGGTGGGAGTAGGGGTTCGTCTGATTTTGTTAATTTGATTGTTTTGTTTTTGGATATCCTTTTAGTTCCTAGAATTTCAGGTTGGGTTTTCCAGGTCTTTTTTTATATCACCTTTGATGTTTTGTAATCTATTCTGAATTCAGTTACTTGTGGGTGAACCATGCTATGTATCTCAAGCTGCCTTGAGTGATTGGGGGACAGAATGCTAACCTTGGTAGTGAGCATGCTTAATATAGATAATTGCAGTTCAGCAGAGCAATAGGCAGAAGGGGTCACCTTTTGTGGGACAGCAGGGTTACCTTTAGTGGGGCAACAGGGCTACTTTCAGTGGGGCAACAGGGTTACCTTTAGTGGGGCAACAGGGCTACTTTCAGTGGGGCAACAGGGTTACATTCAGTGGGGCAACAGAGTTACCTTCAGTAGGGCAACAGGGTTGCCTTCTTTAGGGCAACAGGGTTACCTTCAGTGGGGCAACAGAGTTACCTTCAGTAGGGCAACAGGGTTGCCTTCTTTAGGGCAACAGGGTTACCTTCAGTAGGGCAACAGGGTTACCTTCAGTGGGGCAACAGGGTTACCTTCAGTGGGGCAACAGGGTTACCTTCAGTGGGGCAACAGGGTTACCTTCAGTGGGGCAACAGGGTTACCTTCAGTGGGGCAACAGGGTTACCTTCAGTGGGGCAACAGGGTTACCTTCAGTGGGGCAACAGGGTTACCTTCAGTGAGGCAACAGGGTTACCTTCAGTGGGGCAACAGGGTTACCTTCAGTGGGGCAACAGGGTTACCTTCAGTGGGGCAACAGGGTTACCTTCAGTAGGGCAACAGGGTTACCTTCAGTGGGGCAACAGGGTTACCTTCAGTGGGGCAACAGGGTTACCTTCAGTGAGGCAACAGGGTTACCTTCAGTGGGGCAACAGGGTTACCTTCAGTGGGGCAACAGGGTTACCTTCAGTAGGGCAACAGGGTTACCTTCAGTGGGGCAACAGGGTTACCTTCAGTGGGGCAACAGGGTTACCTTCAGTGAGGCAACAGGGTTACCTTCATGGGGCAACAGGGTTACCTTCAGTGGGGCAACAGGGTTACCTTCAGTGGGGCAACAGGGTTACCTTCAGTGGGGCAACAGGGTTACCTTCAGTGAGGCAACAGGGTTACCTTCAGTGGGGCAACAGGGTTACCTTCAGTGGGGCAACAGGGTTACCTTTAGTGGGGCAACAGGATTACCTTCATTGAGGCAACAGGGTTACCTTCAGTGGGGCAACAGGGTTACCTTCAGTGGGGCAACAGGGTTACCTTCAGTGAGGCAACAGGGTTACCTTCAGTGGGGCAACAGGGTTACCTTCAGTGGGGCAACAGGGTTACCTTCAGTAGGGCAACAGGGTTACCTTCAGTGGGGCAACAGGGTTACCTTCAGTGGGGCAACAGGGTTACCTTCAGTGAGGCAACAGGGTTACCTTCAGTGGGGCAACAGGGTTACCTTCAGTGGGGCAACAGGTGAAAAGATCAACCTCAGAGGGGTAACAGGTCACCTTCAAACAGGTTTGTATGTACATACACTAAAATAATTAAATTTCTGATTTTTAATATCTCAATTTTTTCCATAGGTACGAGGTACAGTGTTCAACGAATTAGATGATGAAAAGCTGTTCAATGTCATTGACTTCCTAGAATTTGAAGAACATTTCAAAATCGGTTTAGGAGGAGGATCAGGAAAAGCCAATGGAGATGTTTCAGAGGTTGATGCTCTACATGCTTTTGGTAGTAAAAGAATTAAGAAGCTTGAACTAACTTCTCTGATGGAACATACCCGCTTAAGAAATATTGGTAAGTATTATTATGATTGGGTTAATTAATTTTTTGCATTTGTCTAGATACACTATTACCCAGTACTATTGCTATAGCACTATGCATGTAGACTGTATAATATTTTTTTTAATATCCTTGTTGTCAGTAATGAACAAAACTTTGTAATGTAATTACATTTCTTTCTTTCAACAAACCGGCTGTATCCCACTGAGGCAGGGTGGCCCAAAAGTTTCTCTTTTCAAATTTAGTAATTTATACAGGAGAAGGGGTTACTAGCCCCTTGCTCCCGGCATTTTAGTTGCCTCTTACAACACGCATGGCTTACGGAGGAAGAATTCTGTTCCACTTCCCCATGAAGATAAGAGGAAATAAACAAGAACTAGAAAGAAAATAGCAGAAAACCCAGAGGGATGTGTGTATATATATGCTTGTACATGTATGTGTAGTGTGACCTAAATGTAAGTAGAAGTAGCAAGACGTACCTGAAATCTTGCATGTTCATGAGACAGAAAAATGGACACCAGCAATCCTACCATCATGTAAAACAATTACAGGCTTTCGTTTTACACTCCCTTGGCAGGACGGTAGTACCTCCCTGGGCGGTTGCTGTCTACCAACCTACTACCTAGAATGTAATTACATAAGGTTATTTATTATAATTTAATTTTTGTTTGCCTATTGCCTAAGAACTGGGTGATATGAGGGAGGAGGAATAACAACATAAGCCAAAACCTGCTGATCCCACAGGCTTGAATTTGGTATGTTATATGATGTTAAATGGTATCATATCTTGAGTAACATCTTACTGCACTTGGCTTGTAAAGCAGAACATTGCCCTGGGAGGGAAGGACAAGGGTTCATATATTCAGTCACTCTGGACAGCATTTTTGTTAAATGTTAAAACATAAAACTCATGAATTTGCATATTGTCCACACCCAGATGATTGCTGGGATTGTAATTAACTGGAAGTGTTAATTTCATTATATTTTATATACAATCCTACATATACAGACATACCTCAAGTAATGTGCAAGTTACATTCCTGAAATTGGCACTTTATGTAATTTCATACTGTAAAATACTTAGAGTGTATGATAAAACAGAGTTGGCTTCATGACACTCTCACAAAGTGCAAGCACATTTTTTTAAATGTTTATTTTGAAAAAAAAATGAAAGTTGTGATACAATGCATTGTAGATGTCATTGATTGTTGATCTAAAAACATGTGTAACCAAATATTAAATGAGGTTGTGGGATGCTTGCATTTGATGCTGCTGTTTGACATGGTATACTGTCTACTTACTAAAAAATGGGCATGTGCTCTATCCCAGGGGTAAACATTGATGGTTTATACACCATCAGTAGTATTATAAATTTAATAATAATGTAAGGTCAAAATTATGAGAAGGTGTGGAATTACTAAAAGTATTATTTAGAGGGCTGAGGAGGGGTTGTTGAGGTGGTTTGGTCATTTAGAGAGGGTGGAACAAAATAAGATGACTTGGAGGGTATATAAATTTATAGTGGGGGGAAGGGGAAGGGCAGGTGTCATCCTAGGAAAGGATGGAGGGAGGGGGTAAAAGAGTATTTATGTGCAAGAAGCTTCAAAATACAGCAGGCATGCATGAGTGTATTAGATAGGAGTGAATAGGGACAAATGGCTTTTGGGACTTGATGAGCTGTTGGAGTGTGAGAAGGGTAATATTTTGTGAAGGGATTTAGGGAAACCAGTTAGCCAGACTTGAGCCTGGAGGTGGGAAGTACAATGCCCACATTTTAAAGAAGGGGGTTTGGGATATCTGCTATTTGGAGTGACATCTGGACTGTCATATCTGCATGCATCTGCAAAGACAGTGATTAAGTGTGAATGATGGTGTAAGTTTTTTTTTTTTTTCGGGGGGGGGGGGGGGAGTCACCCTGGTTTGATGGGAGATGACCAGCATGTTAACCCTTTCACTGTTTTGGTCGTATATATATGTCTTACGAGCCAGTGTTTTGGACGTATTAATACGCATAAATTCTAGCGGCTTCAAATGAAGCAGGAGAAAGCTGGTAGGCCCACATGTGAGAGAATGGGTCTGTATGGTCAGTGTGCACCACATAAAAAAAATCCTGCAGCACGCAGTGCATAATGAGAAAAAAAAAACTGACCATTTTTTTGGATTAAAATGCCGACTTTGAGGTGTATTTTCATATAGTATTTATTGTTGTATTCTCATTTTCATGGTCTCATGTGATAAAATGGAAAACATATTACAGAAATAGAGATGATTTTGATTAGTTTCACGATAAAAACGATCTTGAAATTGAGCTCAAAGTAGCAGAAATGTTTGATTTTTACCAATGTTCAGGCGTAAGCAAATCACACCACACATCCAATACACATCAACTGGGGAGTCTGATATTCTTTCACTAGTGCACTGATATTATTTATACCATTTTTACAATAATGCAGTAGTCTGCATAACAGTAAATTTTGTATTTTTTGTATGCAATAGTAATATAAGAGGGGCCTAGAGACATGACTAATGAACAGGGGATATGTTATTTTAGTGCCAAGAATGTCTACATTGTTTATTCTGGACCCTATTTTGAAATTGGCATCTTTTTTAATTTGCGTGAAATTGGCCAAATTGCCAATTTCTGACCACTTTATTGCGTAGTTCAGATCGGTAGATGGGCAGTTTCTTGTACTCAACTGATAGAAAAATGGAGGTCTAAAGAAATAGCTATGAGTTTGGTCAACTGGAACAATGGAATTGGCCAAAAACAGGGCTCAAAAGTCGGTGAAATCACCGATCCATATATGTTGCTGAGACCGCTAACTTCACGGGAGCATAATTCCGTGAGTTTTCGACAAAATTTTGTACTTTTGGTGTCATTACCATCGGGAAAAGCTTCTCTATCATTTCATAAGAATTTTTTTTTTTTTCAAAAAATTTGCAACATAGAATGACAGTTTCAGAAAGGGGCTTGCGACAATCAAAGGGTTAAAAAAAAATGTACCATATACAGTAGGGCCCCACTTTTATGCCGTTTCGCCTTACGGCGTTCTGCTAATACGGCGATTTCAAATTATGACCAAAATTTGCTATATGGCAAGCAGTCTTTCAAATACGGCATACCCCACCCAGTTTGTTTACATTCACCGTGAGCGCATTTGTTATGTCTGGAAACTTCCCAAAATTTCGAGTGTTTTAAAGTTATTGCATATTTTATATGTACTCTGATAATTATGCTTATGTGTACCTGTACCTAAACATACTTACACACTGTGCTGGCATGCAGGTACACATTAGAATCACTAAAAGTCTCTCTACTCATGATACCATATTAATATGTACTACATAATAATAATCTCTCTTGAGCACATTAAATGTTTTATTTTACGTTAATATAGACATTTTCATTAATTCATCTATGATATTTTCTTCAAAATTCTATAAGAAACACGTTACATAGCATATAAACATTATACATACACCCAGAGAATAAAAATTGACATAAATATGCAATTTGTTTACCAAGAAGCTTCGTGGGAGTGTCGGAAGAATTATGTTTTCTCTAGTCAAACACTGGGGGATAACTGTAGATAAATATTCCTTTCATATGCCTTCACTCTATATATAGTAATTCATGATGCTTGTGGGTTTAGTGCTTCTTTTTTATTATGATTATAATAATAACTTATAATAATAGCTTATAATAATTTGTAATAATAATACTTTATAATAATAGCTTATAATAATTTGTAATAATAATACTTTATAATAATAATAATAATAATTTGTCAGAGCATCATTCCTTCTAAAAATTACATGAAAATGGAAGTGTTGGTCTTTATTTATTCTACTGTGCTACTGTGGCGACAACTTGTAAGGTGTTTGTATGAATGTTTATGACCCATAACAAGATGCATCATCTGTTTGTTTACATAGTGGGTGGGGTGGTCAGGCTGGCTTCCCTACACTACCCTACCTACCACACCACTTTCTACAAATAAATACTTTTCACCTTTCACCCTACATTAAGACTACAAATATTTTAAGATAAGTAATGAGTGTACTGTATATGCATTTTATCACTCTATGGAGCTGTAAGCATCGTCATAGTATATTATATGTGGGTGGGGTGGCCAGGTGGGCTACCACACCTAACTTCTTAGAGTAAATACTACTCACCTTTTGCCCTGCATTAAGACTACGAATATTTTGAGGTAAATAATGAATCTACTGTGTGTGTATTTTACTTTATTGTTTTAATGCCTAATTCTATTGCTAACTTAATATATGTTAGTGTAAGCTTGCTATCTGGCATTTATATGTATTTATAAATGGAAAAAAATGGCGTTCTGCTTTCCGGCGATGCCTGCTTTCCGGCAGTAGCCTGGAACCTAACCTGCCGTATAAGTGGGGCCCTAGTGTATATAACCCAGTAAAATCAATCCATTTTTTGAAAAGCAATAATCAGAAACATTTATAATATTCTCCATGGGGAAGTGGAACAGAATTTTTCCTCCATAAGCCATGTGTGTCATAAAAGGCGACTAAACTGCCGGGAGCAAGGGGCTAATAACCCTTTCTCCTGTATACTTTTCTGAAGTTAAAAAGAGAAACTTTTGTTTTTCTTTTTGGGCCACCCTGTTTCAATGGGATATGGCCAGTTTGTTGAAAAAAAAAGAAATGTAATGTTTAAGTAATCCTTGTATGAAGCCTTAGAAGGCCAAATATGGCTCTTTTCCTCATGGCATTCTGCTAATACAGACATTTCAAATTATGACCAAAACTCTCTATACAGCTCCCCCCACCTGACTTTTTAAAACGGTCACCGCAGACCACTCAGTTTGTTTACATTCTCTGTGAGCTCAGTGTGTGTCTATTATGTCTGGAAACTTTCCAGAATTTCAAGTGTTTTAAAGTTCTTTCATATTTTATATATGCTCTGATAATTATACAGTAGGGGCCCACTTATACAGCAGGTTAGGTTCCAGGCTACTGCCGGAAAGCTGAAATAGTAC